ACTAAACTCGTACTTGTCACTTTTGCACCCTAAAAAAAAACACTCCACTCCACACCATACTCGGGACAATATACTTACAGTTTCTTCTCAACTCCCTGATATTACACATCATTTTTCTGAAAGCATGCCATCAATACTCTCGAACTCTTAACACACCAATCAACAAACACACACACAATGCGGCCCAAGAACCACTCACATCTCTACCTGCAAAATGAACCTTACATTCAACAACACTATGTCAATTTCCTCTCCAAAATGGTATTTTGTTTTCAACTGAACACACACAGAAATCTAACTTTAGTGTGCTTGAAAACAGCCGCGTTCTGTGATTGTGGATCTGACAGTCAATCCATGGCTATTCATTCCAATATCTTTCTGGCCCTCCAGGGACCTGTATACTAAGCGCTTGTGAGTCCACATTGTCTATATTTCTCAGATCAGCAACATTGACTATTCTGCATATGGCAAAAAGAAAACAAGCTTCTTAAACATCCAGACTCAGGGCTGACTTGTTTATGCACCAATTCGTCAAAAACTAGCATCTTGATGGGACTGCATCATAGGACAGGATAACACTTGATACAATAAGAAAAGATAGATAGATAGATAGACTAATAATAGGATAGAGTAGATAATAGAGTAGATAATAGAGTAGAGTAGAGGTACGATAGGATAATATAGAGTAGATAGATATGATAGATGTGTGTGTTGTGTTTTTTTATTGTTGGGTGTGTGTGTGTGTGTGTGTGTGTGTGTGTGTGTGTGTCCTCCCGGGCCTTGTGACAGCTCTATTTCCCAGACATGTTGTTAGGATGCAGAGAGAGATTAGCATAAACATCCTGCATTTCCCATGAACGGCGTTGTCAGGATCAGTCACTGTTGTAATGCTGACACCACAGAGCCCAAATCATTGACCCCCAGATTTACGCCCTATCACTCCTCTGGACAGGGACAGGACAGGAGGGGTGGATGGAAGAAATAGGTGGAGGAGTGGCTGCCAACAGGAAAAAATGTCAAGAAAAAAGAAATATAAAGAAAATGAGAGGGCAAGAAACAAGAGGGAAAGAAAGGGTGAAAGGGAAAGGGAAAGGAGGAATGGAGAACGGAGAGGACTCGGATAAGTGACAAGGAGAGACAAAAAAGAGGGTAGAAATAAGGCTAGGATAAAGAGGAGTTGGGGAAACAAGAGGAAAGGAAGAAAGGACACAGGATGAGACAAGAAGAGAAAGTAGACAGGAATGGAGGAGAGGAGTAGTGAGGGAAAGTTGAAGAGAGGAGAGGATTAGGTGTGTGTCATTGTGGAGTGATCACACACAGCCCTCATCCATCACGGACCCAACAGGAGGGAAGCTCTGCTGTCTGATCGTCCACTCCACTGCTACTGGAAGAGACGCAAGGACACAAAGAGAGGCAGAGAGAAACAGAGAGGCCCTGGAAACAATCAGGAAGAGAGTTTTCACAGTTCTATCTGAAAAAAATTCTATATAAATAAACTTTTCACTTTATAATAACATGATACTGATCTTTTGTTCTTTTTCTGGCGTTGGAAACACTGTCTGGGAAAACAAAGGGAATTTTGTACTAAAATGACTAATAAGTAAGTAACTTGAAGATGACTTGAGAATTTAAAAAATGTGAACCTCCTCCTTTGACATCAACAATACTTTTATTTGGAACTTTGGGGTTCCAAATGTTTAACATACACTTTGATCAAATCTTGTCAGTGTTTCTTTCAACCACATACAATCCATGATTGCTCTGACTTAAATTGAACCTGCCACATGTGAAGGTTTCACGTGTTATTATAGAAGCAGTATAAATTCCAGATATCAGTGAGGAGAATATGTTTGAGACAGTACTAGGGTTAATGTTATCTCTGTGTGTATGTGTATGTGTGACAGAGAGACAGTCTGGTCTGTGTATCTAGGCTTGTAGCCAGTCCCTTAGAATCACATGGCGCCATCTACACTCACAAAAACGCACACACACCTCCTCTTTCTCAGTAATGGGCTGAAGTGCCAGAGGCTGAAGTGCAGAGCAAACGAGCAAAGTGGTTTCCAGGAGAACACTGCTGACCTCTGGCACTTGCTGTCCATGTTGGAGGAACTGAGGTCACATGACACATTTAATGAAAACAGTGTGTTGGTAGACAAACCAATATATACAAATAACAATAACAATTTTGACAACAAATTAAAGTTAATCAAAAGTGGTTTGTGGGAAAAAATGCAAGAATTTGTATTTATTTTTTAAGACTGTAATGTGTGTGCGCCATGTTACCTCTTTGTGTGTGTGTGTGTGTGTGTGTGTGTGTGTGCTAGAGTGGATGTAGATGAGTTTTCTCAGTGCTGTAGGGGAATGGGCTGCGGTTGGCTGGCCTGACTGCAGACCGCTCTGTGGAAAAGAATGACTTTTTAAATTACCCATACATCACTGTCACCACAGCAGAGACTAGTGCGACAGTGCTGCGGTCGCATGCACGTATATACACAAACACCTTCTCTCTCTCCCCCTCCTCACTCAACAAACTCAATCTCATGTTTACAGACATGCAAACACACAGCTTTGCAATGCAAACTTGAACAGACTCCTGTATGCATGTGCCGGGAGGGAAAATATGGAAGCATGGAGACTGTAATGATGAAGCAGCCTGAAAAGATGTAATTGATAGATTTATAAACTAAATACACATAAACACATGCATATTTAAGCCATAAGAGTGTAACTGCAGAACCAGCAGCAGCTGGAGAGCCTTTCTCCCCACTCTCTTCCTCTTCCTCCTCCTCGTCCTCCTCCTCCTCATCTAACGAGCTGGATGTTAATTGCAGGTAATTAAACTGCTCATGGCTTACAAAGCAGGAGAAGTGCTGGCACCATATGTGT